GAACTCCAAGACTTCTTCAGGAGCTACCTCGCCATGATGTAAGAAGGGTGGGAGGACCACGTGACCCTCTCCTGGGCCAGACTTTGTTTTTAGTGTTTTCTTTTTTTTAACTTATTTTTTATATCTTAACAAAACAAAAAACAGACCGTCCCCATGAGCAAGTAGTTTACCCTAACTCCCCTGCAGGGTGTGCTATAGGGACACAAGTGCATGAGTTGAGGAATAAAATATTATGGTTTACTCAAACTTAAACACCCCCAACCCTCTTTCCTGTTTCCCTGCCGCCTTCCATCCATCCTTGCTTCTTTCAATAGCTCCTGGACAGAAGATACCAGGTCCTGCATTTTCTCAAATAACACCTTGAACCCCAGGAAAGACGGGAAGAGGCCCCTGGCGGCAGAGTTGGACATACAGATAGAGCAGAGGTTTAAAGAGTTTGATAAGCTAGCAGCCACAGGGAGGAGCATTTTGGATGAAGAACATCACCTCACACAGATGGTGAGAAAAGTCTCAGTGCTCGTCGTGACTTCACTCTAATCCTCGTATTGTTTTCATGCTGATTCTGTGTCTGTAACACACACATATCTTGCAGGTGAAAGAACGCTTGGAGGAACTACGCAGCATGCTTGGATGGATCTTGGTTCACTGGAGGGCTCAAAAACAACAGTGGCTTCACAAGAAGAGCAAAATTGAACCTTCACAAGATGGCATCTACACTGAGGCCACGCTGAGCCCCACCGTAACTGAGGTGAATGTCCAGACATGTGTACAGCCACAGTAAAAACACAAATAAAATGTTAAAAAAACTGTAATTATTTTTGAGAAATTACTTATTAATACTACTATTCGGCAACATTTTTATTTGGCTTTCATAGGTATTGTGATTGTTGTTGTGTTCTCTTTGTAACTTGGGGGGAAATGTGTTTGCTGCTGATCAGTAACACTGTTGTAACAGAGATTTTAAATCCCAAGAGTTTACATATAATTCATAAAAGTATTATTATTTCAGTAATAGTACTAAGTATAGACTCAAACTTGCCATTTTAATCACAGAACATATCTCTCCTGAGTCTGAACTTTAACATCATAAAATATATATTCTATATGCAGAATTCTGCTCCTGCGCTGGTCGCCCACCGGTCACTCCAGTCCCAACTGGTGCCTTCAGTAGACGATCGATTAAGATCGTCAGGAGACAACCAGCCTCCGTCTGTCCTGCCCAGACAAACTGAGCTGCAGGAGAAGCAGATAGAGGATGGGTATGAGGTCATGAAGAACGGCTACGAGGTCATGAACAGTTTCTCTCCACGGGCAGGTGAGACCTCCCTCTCAGAGTCCCCCAAACCTTCTATCACCGTCCTGAAGGACCCTGGTGGCCCTGCTCTGGGGAGCACAGTCAACCTTATCCTCAGCTTTGGGAACACAGCAGAGAGCCAGGTGCAGGTGCTGGACTTACCTGCTAAGACAGATGAGGTAATGGAGGACACCGCTGAGCCTGTGCACAGGGTGAGAAACACATCCACACTACAAGTCACAAATGTGATTATGGAGTTTAAGTGTTGCTGGCTTCGGGCATCTCAATGGACTAGAAGTGTTTAAATAAATCATTTTTATCACTGTTTCTTCAGACAAAGTCACTCTCTGCATACACATGCACGGGATCTGCTTTCTCCACTGTCTGCTGCTGTTCACTTCTCTCCTCTTCTTTGGCCTTTACGTCTTCCTTTATCCCAATTTTCTCCCTCAGCCTGCTGTGCCTCAATCTTCCGCCTGTAAAAACTTTTGGAGGCGCTGCCAGGGGCTTTTGGAAAATACTTTTGGTAGTTTAAAGCGAAAGAGAAAGATTTATCGTCCGAGTGCAAATGAGGTAAATTACGTGGTGTGAATTGGAATTGCATGCTGCGTCCCAAAGTGTGCCGGGGCTGCATGCTGTGTGAAGGTGTTTTTTGTGGGCAGCATGCTCTACTCACCCCTTTTACAGGGCACAGCGGGGTCTACTGCGTCTCTGCATTGTTCCCCCGTCTGTTAGTCGTGAGTACCAGTAAAAGCAAACACGCCAGTCTAGAACATTCACAGGGTGAAAAACATGAGAAGAACAAAAGTTGGCTTAAAAAAACAATACGATTTTCTCATTTTTGCAGCTTTGCGTGCATTTAGCTATCAGAATAAAAATGTGGGTGATGTGCTAGTGGATGTTTACGTTAATGTGTTTTAATGCATGATCGTGTGCCTGCAAACAAACTGTCTCTGTTAGTGTCAGTCCAAGCTTCAGCTTTGTGTAAATTATGTCTAACTTTTCTTGAGCATTACTGTAAAACTTCCATTCGGACCAAAAGTCCCTAAGAGTTAAATTTCGACCAAGAGTCGGTGAGCGAGCGTTCACTCCCCACTGCTGATGTTGACAGAATCTTTCTTTTCTCCTTATGTCATTTCACCACAAGCCTGACGTAAACCTGTTCTTGCTTGGCCCTTTACGGCTGCGCCACCATTGTGTCTATTTTAGTGACCTCACCCTTGCTTCCTAGGACACGTGTGGTCCACAATGGTTCCCAGTAGGAGTGCACAAATAGAGGTGCAGCCGCTGAACACAGAAACCGCTGCTGAACTTTCAAGAGAGGCCTCTAGACTGCACACCGTGATTTATAGTCTGGGGCTTCCACAGAAACAAGAGATTAGTCACAGAGTTTAGAGGTCAAGCCATTACATCTGGCTATGACGACATGTTTAACCACATGTGATTCCAATTAAGTGTGTGATTGTAATCACGTCCGTGTTGTTTTGTCCTTTTATCTCGTTTACTATCATTCCTGTTTTTATATATTTATTGGGAATGTTAACTGGATGTACTTCAAGTCGTTGTTTTCCTAGATGTGCGAGGTGTCGACAAACACACGTTGTATGTTTATAAAAAAGTAGCTGCTTGTCTCAGTCAGTTTCATCTGTAAGGCATGAATCAGCTTTTGCTCACAGACAGGACTGCACAGCTCTTTGGCGTGAGAGGAAAAATTCTGGTCGATTTCAACACACGCAACTGTGCCGTAAGAGGGTTTGAATGTTTTGTCGTTACAGATGAGCACATTTTGTTCAAACCAGTGTTGTTCTTTTCTTACTCGCAGATAGAGAATATTTGTACCGATACTTATTTAGATTGGGTCTCAATTATGTTTTCAGCTATGACTATTTGAACGTAGTATTGGGCCTGATACCAATACTAGTATCGCTACCGTAGCATCTCACATTCAAACTATTATGCAAAGTTGTCCTGTATTTAAATGATTAATGAGTACGGCATGTAGTGTACTGTCTTGTTTGGAAGTATTCTATGTTGAATTGTACTCGTAATGATATTTTTATTAAGAGTTGAAGAATTGTTTTTAAACTCCTGGGCTGCTTTCACTCCAGCACATCAACTGTGGTTCTGGTGAATGGTGTTTCCCCTTAATTATTTATTATAACAGTACTGACAGACCTCCAACTGCAGGTTGGAAGTTTAATATGAAAATATCTTTATTTACTATAATGTTGATTTTACAAAGTAAGAGATGATGAAAAACATATAACATCTGTTTCCTTGTTTTCTAGGTGAGTACCTACCTACATGTCAAGGATAACAACTTGGCTGCAGGCCCTGTTTATGAGAGCATCAGCCTGCCTCGCCACAACGGCCGCTCCACGGCCTCGGCCTCCCCTACCCTCTATTCATCGTCCTCCTCATCGTGTTCCTCTGCATCTGGACCTCAGAGCTCCAATGTAACCTTCCACCCACTGACAGGGAGCGGCAGCAGTTCCATCTTCAGCAGCCTCAAGAGAATGGGTAAGAGGAGGAAAAGGAAAGGAGACGCTCGCAGACACACCATCCAGAAAATAATGGGAGTGGAGGCGCAAACAGAAGAGGAGCCACAGTACGCCTGTGAGGGGATAATATATGACACGCACACATGGCCTCTGAAAGAAGGCAGGAGGAAGAAGAGTTCACCAAAGGGCCCTGTTAGTGCTGATGAAGTAGAATCTTTAGCCTATGTGAAGAATCCCCTGGCGAAGGACATTGAAACGGAGTGTTCAGGTGAATACAGCATTACTCCATACGCTGTATCCGAGGGGCCAACCACTTTATCTTCCACTAACCAGGTGAAGAGCCACTGCAGATTTATGTCTTTGGGCTCTGTGCTGAGCTTTGAACTCCCAAAAGACATGTCCCTCATTCCCAGCATTCAGGACATCATTACTATTGCACCACCTGAGTCCAAAAAAGCAGCAGGTACTGATCCAGATCCCCACTCTCAAAGACACTTAGCCCTGAGCTCCTTCAAACAGACTCGACCTAATCCTGTCATCACACAGGGTTCATCGGAGCCCAGCACTCCTGAGATACACACTTCCTCTGCGGCAGTGAAAGCTGTTTCTGATATGAACCATCGATCCAAACAGGCGCCTTCACTGACCCAGGATCAGTCCATACCCAACCACTCGTCCAAAACCGATGTCAGTGTTTGTGAGGCTGCAGATCCATTTAAACGTAATACTCCTGACAGAAACAGGACCACCTGGCCCTCTGAGCTCCCTATTTATGTGAACCAAGCACAATGTACAGTCCTGCATAAACACCAGTGTCCCAGCGTCCACACGCGTATCCGGGACCTGAATGGACATATTTACCACAGAGGTTCAAGACCTCACAGCATGCACGAGCACAGCTCTGGGCCACAGTACCAGAACCAGGCTTCTCATGTCAGAGTGAATCTGAAGTCCACAATGAGTTTAAGTGTTCGTCAGGACTCGGTCGACTCTGGGATCTCCACATCCAGCTGCATCAAAGTTTCTACTAACACTTTATGTCCAGATGCACCTCCAAAGGGAGTCGTGGGGAGGATCATGTCCTTTCAGGTGGAAGCTACTGACTGCACTAAACCAAAGGAAGACATCACCACATCCTCAACTCCATCTCCCCAATCTTCAGAGTCCCAAACAGAACCTGTACACCTAGATCACAAACAGTTCCAGGAAGAGGAAGAAGAGCTAGAAGACATTTGGAACCAGACAAACTGCAGACAGAGCATCAGCTCAGACATCATATACCAGTCCAACCAAGAAGACCCTGCACCCTCACTCCAGTCCACTGAGACTCATGCTGAGTCACCCTCACCAGAGACCCCAAACGTGCTCTACAGGAACCTGGTCACAGCCTCTGCTCCCAACCTCCTCGTGGCTGAGTTCAAACTGCCATCACACATTCAGAGCTTGCTGGGGTACAACAAGGAGCAGAACGCTAACAGGGTTCACCTCCCGCCTTTGGCCAAAGGTGACAGGAGGTCCTGGGCAGCGTTTCCTCACAGGGAGTCAAACAGCAGGACTGCAGTGTTTGTGAATGAAACGGCGTCTGATCCAGTGAAGCTGCCAGACGTATGTGACAATCAGAGGTACATCTATCAGTACAAAGAGGATGAGGAGGAGGGAGGAGACATGGTGAAGGCTAAGGTGATGGAGGAGGTGGATGATCACACGGGTTGTTTGAAGGTGAGGCTAGCTTTTGATGCACTGTAATGTAATGTAAGTCCCCTCTACGTATTTCTGCTAATGTCCGTAGACATAGCTGTCTTCACTGTGACCTGCAGTTGGCGCTCCACTGAGTATCCAGTTCCTGTAAAATAATAATGCTGTAATAAAAACATGAGAATGTATTATTCTGATGATCCAATGGTCTCAGCGACACTTTTCTGTTTTTCTATGGACTAAACTATCCAATTCAACTATCCATAAATTACATGTAGTAATTTATAAAAAGCCATAAAAAGCTACGGTCTAATGTCTTTAGGACACCTTTACCTTGTGATCTTTACCTAATTTCTAAAACATTAAGTTTTTATTCCCTTTTACAATCACACCAAACACCCATAGTCCTTTTTGTTGACAGTGGGTGGGCATGGACTAGCTAAATCGTGCTAGCTGCATGTTTTCTGTTAGTTTGTCATTAGTCTTATCTAAACTATGGACTTGGATAAAGCAAATAAAATCTGCAGCGCTTCAACACAGTTGTTCTCAAGTTTCCTTCTATGGTAGCAGGAGACAGGGGCTGTAAAAGTAAAAAATGTTTCCAGAAAAGCCAATGTGGTGGCAGGAGCTAAAGGCTAACAGCTCATAAGCTGGTAACAACCTAAATATATTTTACTCAGCTTGGAGCAAACAGATGTTGTTTGGAAAGAAATACACACAATGAAGACCCCCATTTGCTTTGTCTAATTTGATAATTTACTTTGTGGAAATCTAGGGGGAAAAAATGTTTTTATTTAAATATTTCATCATCCTTTATTATGAATCTCCATTAATACAGAAAATCATGTAAATCCTAATAAAAAGCTAGAACTTGTACATTAAAATCAGACTAAGTTGTGTTAAATGTGATTCAGATGTAGTTTCTTAAAAACTCGGCAGCCTAAACATGAACAGGTGAAGTGGATTACACTGATGAGCTCCTTATCATCACACCTGTTAGTGGGCGGGTTATATAAGACAGCAGCTGAACAACACTGTGCTGAGAAAAATGTTGAGTGTTTGAGGGCTGCAGTGGTTCAAAGCAGTGAAAGCAGTGAAAGCAGTGAAAGCAGTGAAAGCAGTGAACCTGCAGCAGGGTCACGGGCGGCCGAAGCTCATTAGCTCGTGAGAAGGGCAGAGGTCGGCTCGTTTGGTCCCGTACAGCAGATGAGCTGTTGAAGTTTATTTTCCTGAATGCTGGTGGTTAACAGAGTCTACACAGTGCATCACAGTTTGTTATATTTTGAGAGCAACACATAATTATACAGGTGGTCATAATGTTATGACTGATCAGTAGGTAAACACTACAGGAAAATGAATGTGGGGCATTTAAATGTATTTAAAAAAAGTAACGTTGGTAACATAAACCTTTGTTTGTATTGACTATGACCACATTCCTGCCACCTTTGATACAGCAGTAGACTGTTTTTAGAAAAATAAAGATTTTATTAAAGGTTTCTTCTAAAAATTGAGTATTTTTGGGCAAAGGTACCGTCTTTTTCAGGAATTATTGCAATGGTCCAAAAATGCATTAAAATAACTATTAGACGGACAATCTCTTGATAAGTCTGCATCTGTGAAATGTCATTAAAATACTCTGAACTGACCAGTAAAGACAAGAAATATCTTCCTTACCTTCAGTTCGTTGTAATTCGTGTGAACATTTTAACTGAAAGCTGAATTATCATATACTGTGACACTGCAGCTCCCAACATGTTCTAGCTTTTAATCAGCACGGATTAAGAGGATGTGCAGTGTTTTCATTGGTAGTTAATAGGAAATCCTGGTTGTTTTGAACAGGACCAGTCTATGAGTCTGCTGTCAGTGCACATGGATCTGGGTGCGGCCTGTCAGCAAAAGCAATCGTCACAAAGCCCGGAGCACGTGGAGAGGCAGGGAGATGTGATGGCCACAGGAGGGCGCCGTTTCACCTTAGTAAGACATCAGTGCAATACTGGCAGCTCTATCTTTGTGTTTCAGAAAAACTTGAGAAAAAAAAAAAGCTTGTGTGATAAACCACGGTGTTAATTCAAACAGAGTGGGAAGTCTGACCTGCAGTCAATGGAGGGGACTCTGGAGAGGAAACATAAGCTGCAGCTGGGAGGAAAAAAAGTAAGAAAGACTTCAATCAGTGTGGGAGCCAGTGGCATGGTCAGCAAATATGAAGTCCACCGTCAGCAGCAGCACACACACACACACACACACACACACGCGTGCGCGCTCATTCTCTGTTATCTTATTTTCACAGGCAGCCTCCAGAGGCTGGAATTCCTACCACGCTGTCCTATTTAGAAATACCTTGTGCTTCTACCAGGACAGAAAGGAGACACTCAAGGTAAGCAGTAAAATGTGTGAAAATCAGAGGTGGGAGAAGAGAGCGGATGAATAATCAAGGCAGATGGAGAGAAGTCAGTGATGATCAGTCTGTTGCTGTGTTCCAGAGTTCTGCCTGTGGCCTGCCTCTGAACCTCATGGGGGCTGAGTGTTCACCTGCGCCAGATTACACCAAGAAATCCAACTGCTTCCGGCTCCAGTAAGATGGCGTTGACCGCTGACATTATTCATATTTACATTTGAACACACGTGTGTTTGACCTCTGTCTGACCTACAGGCTCCGTGATGGGTCTGAGTATCTGTTCAACGCTCCCTCACGCTTCATGATGAGGAAGTGGGTGATAAAAATACAAGCCAACACAGGTGATTAATACACACCACATCAACTGCTGAGCTTTGGCTGCTTTTATTTTATCAACTTGACAAAAAAATCTAAGCAAATTTTTTTCAAATGATTGAGGCGATGCATCGGGGGGTGATTTAGCTCAGATTTTTTTTTTTTTTGTTACGCCAAAACTGAAAGAACAAGCAATTAACATTTAGAAGTTGGAAGAGGTGAATAGACAGGTGATGTCAAAGAAATCCCTGAGAATTCTGAAAAAAATAGATATTTATTTATTCATAAATAGATAATAAAATCATTCTTATTCTGTGTGTCTAAGAACTTTTTTACCTTTCACTTGCATGTAAAATTGCAATTACACCTTTTTGTCATCCATTACAATTAAATTAGTGCTGAGTTTAAAACCAAATGTGTTTTTTTGTTTTTTTTGTTTTGTTCTTTTGTTTTCAGGCCAGAGTGTGTCCATGTCCTCAGTGTCCATTGATCCTGATGATCCAGTCCTCCCCAGTTCCCTGTAAGACACGTGATCAGGTCACTCATCTAGAGTGAATAATGGCCCATGAATAATACATTTAAAATAAATGCTTATCTCTATGAAATGCTCGTCTCAGAAATCCATCATCCTGCCCCAGTTGTCGTGGTCTGGCCAAATGCCATTGTTCCTCCCGACATGATGTCACCTCCATGTTCCCCAGGCATAAAGCGGCGGGCGCCGCCCAAACCAAAGAGATCGTTGTCCTCACCAGGGAGTTCAGTCAGATGCCACAGAGTCATTTAAGGAGTTTGGACGAGCAGTCGGTGAACACATCCACCCGTGAAGGCTGCTGTGGTGAGTCTCAGGGCCTGGTGTTACACTGAAGCGACCGAACATTAACTCAGGGAGGGCTGCTTTTCTAATGTACTTCTGCTCCACACCCACTCTGAGTGGAAGGCCGTCACTGCTGACCACTGAGCAGCCCCAGTGGACCACTCATGGTTGAGTGTGCTGTTTATCTGTCCTGACGGCTTCTGTTCAGTGCAGTAACAAAAATCCCTCGTGTTGATACAAAATCCAACATCTGTGCTGTTAATGTGCACCAATATTTAAACTAGTTGTTAAAGCAAGGTTGGTTTACGTGTGTTTTTGCCACTAGGTGGAGCTAGGGTATTATCTTACTGTATTATAAACAACAGTTGGGGACAGAATTACTATGAAACAGTTAGAGAATGTAATAAAACATAGACACAGAACTAATGAAATAACAAAATAAATTAGTAAATAATTATAAAGATAAAAAATATAAATATAATATTCCTTGTGAAAAATTCTGCCATTTCTGCTGCATATCTGTGACAATTAATTATTTTATTATTATTATTTAATATATATATATTTTGGTTTACAAACAAATGTTGAAAGTAAATTCATTTTTAACATAAATCATTTTTACTCCGGTCTGTAAGCTCAAAAAAAAAAGTTCAGCAGACTTGTTGGGTTTTGTCAAATATTTTAGTCTGACTTTGTATTAGCTATACTGCATTAGGTTAGTGTTTTTAAAAACAAAATACACAAGTTAAACATGGACAAGCCCAATATTAGTAGTACACTAGTAGTAATGTGGCAGGTTACTAGTAAACAGTTAACTTTTAACACCACAGTAACTTCTTCACTGTTTGTCACTCAGGTGATGATGAGGTCAGTACAAAGCTGACGGTGAACCACCGACTGTCTGCTGCGTCCACTGACAGCACCTCCTCCTCGTCCATGTCCTCCCCTCCTCATCCTCCATCATCCATTGGCCAGGACTGGCTTAGCAACAAGCGCCGCTCCCACTCCTTTACATCAGGTCACTTTGCACTTATTAATAATTGAGCTGTAAAAAGGTGATTTATTTATTTATCGTTTGTTCATCTCCTAACGTTGCCTCCTCTGTGCTTCCTCCACAGCTACGTACCAGAAAATAAAACCCATCCCGCAGCCACCCGGTGGCCTGGACAGAGGCTCCAACTACTGCGTCACCCTGGTGGTTGGAGACAAGTTGTCAGACGGTTCCTCCACCAGCAGAACCTCTGAGCCCCCCCTGGTGGCCGTAGCTGGTTGGCAGCAGGAGGCCCATCAGGACTCTGCTCAGAGGAGTTACACCAGTCTGCCCAGGCCGCGCAACAAATCAGTCTTCAAGAAGTTCTTCGGGAAAAAAGACCTCTGACAAAACAGCTACTAATTAAGAGTAGAAGTTCATGTGCAGTGCACATACTGTATTATGCAAAAAAAAAACCCACACAACTACTGACTCTATTTATGACAGGAGGAGCCACCAACGTTTTATTTTTGGTGTATTTTATATACTGTAGATCACTAACAGACGACGTCTCTTTTATTAGTCCTTTCATTTGTTATATGACCTTTCATAATTTTGTCCAAAGCACCAAACTAGTGTATCTTCAGTGTGTGCACGTGTGGGTGTGTGTTTGTGTGTGTTGTTTTGTGGATTACTCAATTAACTACACATGTTTTTGTTTTTTTTGTTTTTTTAATATACCTGGTTTTCTTTTTTTCAATGCGGTTGTTGTTCAGAGTCAGGATACACAGTGATTTTTTTTTTTGTGAAGCAGGTTTGAAGACTAAATGTCAACAACACACCACTGTACAAGTTCAATGACAGCTTTCCATTTGTTTTGTTGTTTTTTTTTTTGGGGGGGGGGTTGTTGTTGGTTTTGTTCTACTTATATAAAATGCAGTTTGATACTGCCTGAGCTCGTCTGATATTCACTGCTTTACAAGTGTAACAAAGATTCTTCATAATAAAACATCAAAACCAAAGATGTCTCAGACAGGATGTTGGAGCATTAATTATCTTTGTATTTATTCCTGTACATGGCTGCGAGGCTTTGAAGAGAAAGGGGATTAGATGAATGGAGAGATGAAAGGCCTGAGCCGGGTCTGGTGAAGATCATGTTCACGTCATTAGTCTTGTTTTTTTGCATTTTAAATAACACTCACCACCATTTAAAGACGCAATTCAAACAAATCCATGATCAACTATTTGCATATTTGCTAAAGTGCTAGGCGTCCGCCACAGATAGTATGCATATATTTTGGGAAATGCTCTTGTTAAGTGTTACGAAATATTCAGTTTGTTCATTATGAGGGCCTCTGAGGGAAAGATTAATTGCAACAGAGAGAACAGTGGCAAGAAATCCATCTTTTTATGCAAATTATATACAAGTAGTTTCTAAAAGACATCTAGAAAAAACAAAGGCCAAACACATTTGTCTTTACAGTTCAGTGAACATTACTGTGGAGTTTAATGTAAAGTAGCTTTTGACTGGAAAGGCATGAATGGATTATACTGTAAATATGTGTGTAAATTGTGGGTCAATTGGTAGAGGCCTTCTTCTAGTCAGTAGGTGGGGTTGAATTCCAGCTGTACATCCATGACTTTATCTGATGCAGACAGGGCAGACGTGAGGATGCTGATGAAGGTGATGGAGCGGTAAAAACGTTACGTCTCTTTTTTGAGATATGGCCAGGTGTCAGTATAGCTGTTGAGTGAGACGTTACATCATACCTAACTACATTTCTACAATACACCACTTTGTTGAGAGAATGTGTCTTGTTGTCCGGCCTCTCTGGCATCTGTGTGTGTCCTGTATGTATGGACCATTTTATTGTCATCATTTAGTCATTTTTGTCACTTTAATAAAGGTGTGGGAGTTTTTCCAAAAAACATGTTCGTCTGTGTTACCTTTTTGTTTCTAGGATGGGTATACACCATTTTAATTCCAATCCTAGAAAATTAAGATGAGGTTTTTTCTGGTGGAGCATCCTGATTAAAAGAAATATATTGTTAGGGATGTGGAGTTAGTGTCATCACACTCACCTGTGTCTCTGTTCATTAGTCTCACTCGAGTCACCTGGTGCCCTGGGTATAAATATCTCCCTCACTCTGTCGGTGTGGGGATCATTGTGCTGTTGTGTTCTGTTGCTGTAGTTAGTGTTCTGTTCAGCTTCGTTTCTGTTCTGTTCTGTGTTCCTAGTAATTCAAGTTAAGAAGAATTCCGTTCCTTGCTGACGTGTATGCCTGGTAGGTTGTTTCCTTTTGCACTTTGTGAGTAAATTACTTGTGGCACCTTAAGAGAGTCTCCCCAGTATCACATGTGGTTCCTGCCTACTTCCAAGATGTCCAAATGTAACATATATAACAATTACTTATCTTTCATTTTAATGATACCTATAATAATATTTTTAAATTAAATTTAAGAATGAAACCATTATATAACATACTCAGGAAATGATGCCATAAGGTATGTATACAATATATATATATTGCATTGTCAACTATGTATATACAGTATATATCAGAGGACTATGTCAGTTTCTGCCGGTCTTGCCCATTGGTATGATTAAAGGTGGATCTATGCTCTAATGCAGGATTTTTCCAAGTCGATAAGCTGACTAGTAATACATTACTTTTTTTCCTGTCTTGGATCATGGATTATTTGATTTAGCTAGTGTCTGTCGACCACTGCTCCTTTATATGAATGGGCTGAATGCAGAGAACAGATTTTATTGTGTGTATGTTACACGTACAATGACATATTACGCTTCTGCTTTTCAATACAAATTAAAGGTGTAGTCAGAGCTTAAACGTTTTCTGAAAAGTAATACCACAGGGGCCTGTGCTTGGACCCCTAAAAGAATCATGTCAGGAATCCCTCTACAAGGATAAACTAGAATACAACACACTGCACTGACATTTCACTTTACAGGACAGACGATGACAACGACTTGCTGACATCCACAGACTGAGAACATTTGGATGCTCAATCTCCATTCCGGGTCAGAACTTACACCTCGGTGCTCTGCAGCCTGGAGGGTTGCTGAAAGCACCAGTCAATCAATTGATCACCGTGCACTGGATCTCTGTGTCTTCTCTGTGCCCTTTGACCTCTCCATCATCCACTCACAGCCCCCACTGCTTTCTTCACAGCTCTAGGGCATGTAGTCTTTGCCTACAAAACACTCAGTGTGGGCGTGTGTGTGCGCGTAGGCGAGGAGGTGGCTATACACACACCACAATAACACTTATCCACGGCTTAGGTTGTTGTGTTTCTCCCTCTGTAACCACTAATAACAGTCTGAGTGACACATCCTCCCAAAGGTGAGGTAGAAGTCCAGGTTCTGGTGTGTTGCCAGTAAATAGTGACTCACTGCAGTCACCACAGTCATTCAGTAAGATCCGGAGATGAGACGTTAACATCCAGGTGGTGTAAGTGGAGAAGGATGTCCTCAGGTCTGCACCATTATCAGGCTATTGACACAGGGAGAGGTCTGTTTAGGACCTATTGTCAAATGTCATCATTTCTGTCAATATTTAAGCGTGTTCATCTTGAAAAAAAAAAGCAGCTTATATTTCAATATTAGTCTTAATTTTTATTCACTTGCTCATTGGAGTAGAACAAGTGCTGAAACCCTGCACCGTCTGCCTGCCTCCAGCAGCTTTGGGGGAGTCCATCAAAGTGATGTAATGGGAAAACTCAATGTGTTGGGCAGCAGGGTGGGATTGTGGTTAGGAGTTCAGATCAAATGGCTTAAAGGGATAATTCAGTGTGTTTTGAACTGTGGTTGTATGATTTACTGGCACACAGTCAGTGTCGGAGCCAAGAACCAAGCCGAGAACCTGACGCTCACAGGAAAAAACATGGCTGCCAGCTTGGAACACAAGGATCTAGCCTTGTGCCACTTTGGTCACTGGAAGGAAAATATGCCAAATGTTTTCTTTCTGTTTACAAACAGTCAGCAGGACAACTGGAAACACAGTGGTAATGGTGCCCAGGTCTGTAAGTTGACTGAACCCATACAACATTGTTATTTTTTATGTTGCTCTAATTATTTACCAGTGCACAAATATGTGTTTAATGTTGGAATAAAACTTAATTTTAAAATAAAAATATATAATAGTAATAATAAAATTAAAATGTAACATGTTTGAAAATGAACCACGTTGCTTCTTTTTGGATATTTTAATAGGAGCTTAGCATCACTTAAGTTACAATACTGCCACCATCTGGTTCCATCACTAGTAAACATTTACGTGGTAAGGCATCCAAACCACATGTAAAGAGAAAAGGACGACAGAGGGCAGTATACCTGCAGATGAATACAGCACCACAGATTATGATTAAATTAAAAATGGAAGTGGCATGTATTTAATTGTTGTTGTTTGTCTTTGTTTTGTTTTTTTACTTTAAGATTGTTTTTTGCCATAAAATTGTTTGAGAGATGTAGTTCTGACATCATCAGCAGATTTAACGGTGTTTTAAATTCAGACATACAGTCAGTCTCAGTAAGATTTTCAGACAGGAAAAGCTATAGCATAACTAGGAGCCATGTTTTCAAATATAGTGACTCTGTGTGTCTCTGGTCGGTTCCTCACATTGGCACTGACTTGGTGTCAGCGCTCATACAGCCGCACCGTGGAACAACTAAACTGTCCCTTCACTTTAGATCATCTTATGTCTCATTCTCTCAGCCGCTCTGTCAAACCCAGCCTGTAGCTCTGGTAATGTTTGGGAAGTGACGCCGGCTGCTTTTCATATGCAGCATCCAGTTGTAGGCTGGCTGTCACGGGCAGCACGTTTACACAAACCACCACGAGTCAAAGCTTTATACTCACCATATGGTGACTGTCATACATGCTTTAAGTACTTAACTTTACAGCTTACAATAATTCAGACAATAATCTTGGGAAATAAACATTGAATCTTCAGACCCCCGCATGTACATCGTGAACGTTGTCATTTTTTATTTAATTTGTATAGTATTTACAAAACACATTGGTCTCAATGGACTTTACAAAAGATTTAAAGATTAGAATGGAGATTAAAATGATCCTCCTAACAAACCCACATCGGGTAAAGTAAAGCAGAATACATTTTATAAATACAAATGGGAAACTAAATAAATCACACATGGAACAAGAATTTTCATCACAGGTGTTTGGTTTTTCAGTCCACCAGACCAAATCTCCTCACTGTCCTCTCTCTACAGCTACAGCTGCAGCCATGCCTCCTGGGCTGAAACCACAAAATGCAATAACGGGAGAGAAATGTCTTCATGTGAGCAACTCCCTCAGCCCCCGCCCTACTGTCTCCAACCCACTTTTGCCCAGGATTGCTGGTAAGCTCCTTGAATTTCACTGCCTTCCATGTGTAGAGGGATAAATATTGTCATGGGAGTCGTGCAGACATCTGTCCTAAAGATATGGAGTGTGTGAATGCATCGCTGTGATATGGATATTAAACCAAGTGATCTTCATGGCGACTGTTCGACACAGTCTTTAAAACAAGGCTGTTTCTGCTGGGACACATCACAGCTCTCTGCTCCTCCAACAATCAGTCCAATTATTATAGTGACTCAACGGTAACGCCTGAACTCACTAGTGGTGTTCATTTTAAAAGATACCTCAGCAACTGTGCCATCAAACACACCAGGATAGGAAATTGCTTTTTTCCAAATGTCTCCTTCGCTTCTGTAAATGTGTTTTGGGTCATTTAGGATAATTTTCAGGGCATTTTGAATCAAATAATAGGAAACTGCCTGTTTTATTACTACAGTGCTAACACAGTTAGCTATTTTCTGTATTACAGAATGGATTATATTTTATATTTCAATTTTTTTTACAAAGTCAATTACTCTTATAATGTTTTATTACCATTATTTTCTTAACTGATGTTGTATTTTGAGATATTTTACCATTTTATGCAACTCTCTGTCAACGAAAACTTTGGCTAAGTTGACTTGTTCGCTAACAGCTGTCACTGAGTTAGTTTGATTAGCATTAGCCAAAAGTAGCATTATGTCTGTTGTTGTGGTTTTTGTATGTAAGCTGCCTTTAACTATCTTTAACTAGAGTTTAAATGTCTATTTGGTATCTTAGCTTATATTGATGAGCCTTTGTGGTTATTTTAATTATTTTTGTTAAAGGTTTAGTTACATCATTGTTTTGCCTTTTCAAATAGAACTGACTTCCCTTGATTTAACTATATTTTTGGTCAATCTCATTTTTGTGGGCTGTTTGTTACATTACTCTACAAAGCAACAATTTGAGAGTTATGCCTGGAACCAAATCTAGCATGACTATCTTTCCATTGAGATTTTTTGCCAATGTTTATATTTTACTACTTTATATTCAATTTATATTGGCAAAATGGATTATACATACATTACTACTGTTTTTATAGGTGAACACTCAGTAGAGTCTATAAGTTATTGTTTCATTACATGAGAATCCAAAACCAACACTAATATAAAACTACCAGCCTCCAGAGGAATTCCAGACATTTTCAGGGTATTTTGTCCCAGACACCAACTTTCTGACAAACACACACAGATGTTCTGTCTCCTAAACTTGTATCTTGTTTAGGTCACTGCCTTCACTATCAAGGTTTTATTATTATTTTGAGTGGTTCTATATGCCTCAGTACTTGTTAATTTTTTTAAAATGATTTGGATTTTTATTCAGAATTAGCATTTCTTCATGATCATATGTACTACTAATGAACTCTATTTATCTTTACTGGCTGCATATTGTTAGTCCATGGATATTAATTAGTACTAATTATATTTCCTGATTCATCATATCCAATCAAATGCATTCACAGACACTTTGAATGCAATGCACAAAGACTACAAATCCATCTATCTTTTCCCTCGTCTGCCTTCCTTGAACCAACCCACCTCTGAGTCGAAAACACGTGTTCAAAAACACGACTGTTGACGTTGAAGCCTATTCAGTGTTGGTGCTGTCGGTGCCAGATGATCCAGAGCTGCGTCTGCAGTGGTCATAAAACAGATGCTGGAGCAGCAGCAAGTCTGACGCAGATCACAGCTGGCAACTCTTACTGCAGCCAGACTGACAGCTTACATCAGTTACACCAGCCGCGTCAGTTCACCTAGCCAAAAATCCGTAACATGTATTTTCACTTTCAGTGACCTGAAGATCCTTTGATGTCTAACCAAATATGTGGAACACAGGGTCTTGATATAAACAGATGCCAAATCTCCACACATGAGATATCAGTACATCAGTGTGTTTGGTCACTTGTTTTTTTTTTTTCATCAAACAATGTAAAAACACAACACCTACATGTATTAATTTATATTGGTAATGAATGGTAATTGAAAGCAGAAAATCAGAAAGAGAACAGAAACATTTTATCTGTACTGCAAAAAAATGTATTTTGGATTAAACTAGTGATTCCCAAAGTGGGACATGGAGCTAATACAGGATGAGGATCCTGTAAATGTACCTCATATTCAGTTTTTTCTGGTTATATCTACGCCACATTTTGCAGTGATTTGTAACTGTAATTGTAGGTTTTGAAAAAATAGCTGTAATTTTGTCGATAATGGGAGGCACAATAGTTCGACAGAAGGGGGCACTGCATAAAACGTTTGGAAGCCACTGGATTAAACAAAGCATTACTGACTACAACTGTATTTTTTTAATTTAAAGTAAGCTTTTAATTTTTACAATTGGAAATACTATTAGGCCTATCACAGTGTTTGTTTTTGAGTATTTTCTTCAAGCTATAGCAGCCTTTTTTTAAAAAAAATTAAAAATACTTTCCTGTGCCATGATAAACTATCATTTAAAGCAGGTAATGACCCAACCCAATACAGTTCTTATTTGACCTTTTACCCTGGATTTCTCTTCTTGAGAGAATCTGCAGTGAAACCCAACAATAATGATGACCAATTCCATTTCAATTTCAAGATGTAGACCGTTGCTATGGTTACACACAACACTACATATAAACTAATGGTCCAATCAGTTCATGAGGGGATGAATAATTTTGCCCATGGCATTTTTGACTAGAAATAATTTAGCTTCTGTCTGCGGAGTTAATCAAGTATGACTCCTAATGTGTTCATCAATGCTTTGTCAAAAGTGAAGTGGCAGCAGTAACTTGTAGCAGTTTCTTTGACGATGACAGGGTTTGACGACTTGCCTCATTCTGTTGCAGTGAAAGTCGTCAGAGGCCTTTTTTGTGCCGCATCACCCACTCACCCTCTACACAAATGCACCCTGACATCTCTAAACTCCTTTACTCAGTGATATTATTCATCCCTAAGCTGGCTCGGCCCGGATAAAATTCTCATCATCTCAGGGGACGGAGCAGAAAATCCTTAAAACAGAAAGAAATTACACACAATACACATAACTTTTACTGCTTTGTATTAAATACACAGAAACAAGTATCCAGGAGTCGTATATGAATGTAGATATTTGACTCTTGTACAAGACCAGAACTTCTGACTGTGACAACAAACTTTGTTGCCTAATGTTCTTTTGTTTGAAGTGGATTAATTTAAATAAAATAAAAGTCTAGTTTAACGTTAATATTCCAAATAGTCAAGTACCAAATAAACTTGCACCACTTCTCGTCATGAACAAACTAATATTAAACATTCCAAATGAGAAATTCCTGTTGGAGACGGCGTCAGAGCAACGGCTGAATAAAGAATAAAAACAAAGCTGTTTGCAGGATCGGTCTTTGACTCAGAGAGCAGGGGATTTACACCGCAACTGAACAATTCCCTCCACTGTCTCCCATCTGATGATCAATTATTCAGCATGCAATCCATTTTGAGGCTTTTTCAAGGAGGAAAGAATGAATTGTGTACATAAATGCATGCATGCATGCATTTATGAGACACAGTAGCTCTTTCAACAACTGGGACGGCCTTGGGTCGGGTCACGGCGCTGTTAGTAGCTCATGTACATTATGGCTAACGTGTAACTCTGACACAAAGGCAATCCGTTGTCATGCGTCTGCATCTCCGAGTTAGGACGTGGGTTTCAGACATTCTTGTACCGCTCCTACGATGTCCTGTAGAAGAGCGTTCCTGTTCTCCTTAGTCACCTGAAGCAGACAAGAGACAAGACATTACTGACCACATGTATATGGACTGGAGAAAGTGTAAAAAGACATGAGACTGTGGTGACACAGATAACAATTGACATGTCCTGTAAGATTAAAGTTTGATAATCTGTGAGATTACCAAACCACATGGTGTACACACCTAAGATGTGACCTAGTGTTTTGTCAGTAAAATTACCATAAAAAACACACACACACACTGCTTTTGTTTGGTGTGCTTTTATACAGCTACACACAGTGAGTGGTTGTTTTTTTGTTTTTTTGCACGACAACAACTGACTCTTTCGTGATGAATTATGTTGACATTAGAGACCACTCTTTGTTGTTAAATCAGTCACGCATGATGTAGAGTTAATCCTGCGATCGTACAGAGGGATAATGCAGTTCATGCCCTTCTGCACTAGTGAGCCTACTGACTGTTCTCTTAAGACCAGGAGGATGTAGCCTGCAGTGTTCAAAAGCAATTGTGGGATTTACAGGCTCCCAAACTGACCTAAATAATATTTTTCCATCTAAAATGCAGAGGCTTCTGTACTCACAGCAAACACCCTGACGTCTCTGCTGCTCCTCACTTCCTCTACCAGTCCCAGCGGTTTGCCCTTTGGGATTGGGATGGTGCCCAGGACGGTGCAGGAGGAGCTGTCCAAAATCTGTCTCACTGCCCTGATGAAGGACTGACTGAAGAGTTCCATTTTGCCTATTTCATCAATGACAAAAACCTTCTTGTTTCCTCCATCTGCCAACCCCACCTGCAGGAGAAAGGTGGCAGGTGAAGCACTGTGTAGCTGAGGTTTGTAACAAATCAAAACCCTCAGTTCAAGAGTTATTTCTTAGTCACTAAGACAAAACATAAAAGTACAGACACAGACAGTTGACAGTAAAATTTTCAATTCATTTCCAAGTCTTTTAAAAAGTACATTGGGAACCGTGAGTGTGCTATATGTTCTTGAAATTGCTTATCCAGTGATGCCCCCCCCCCTCCCACCTCTGTTTTCTATGCATATTAATGACTGAATGTCTGAAGTCTGTGGACACAAGAGCAATGTATAGTTATGTCTAGGACTTACCAGGTATTTCAAACAGTTTAGTCTTCACATTAAAGAATGAAACAATTGATTGTTTGGAGTAAAATTATTGTATTATTTTACGTACACCACGTGATCTGCTGTGATTACAGAACAACTTGACATGAAAGTGGAAGATGTGCCGCCAGGGCACAGACACCATTCTTTACAGTGCATGTGTAGGCGTCACCCCAGGTTCATTTACATGCTGTATTAATCATGGTCAGTGACAGCCAGACGGCACCACCGACACTAAAAATGCCACTTTGGAATTTATGCCTTTGCTGACTTCCAATTATTCCATCAATACTAAGAAAATTAAAGGTATAATGATTTGTTAAGTGGGGAGACATGGGAGTGTTTAGCTTTCTGTGATCTACTGAGCCATAAAGACCAGACACATGATCCCGACTTACATTTCTAAAGAGAGGGAGAACCAGGGCTTCAAAGGCAGGTAAGTCAACCACATACTGTCCGACAGTGTATTCCCTTCTTCCAGGAGATGCACTGGTAACATCTCTGAACATTGAACATGAAGAGGACAAAATCCAAAACACAATGATTAAAGGACAAAGTCAGTTTGTTTCAGACAGGATGACAAGTCTGCTACCTGATTCTGGACAGGTGGCCTCTCTCTCCTGTCATGGTGACGACATCAAAGCCCGTTCTCCGGCCTCTCTCTCTGACCTCCTCTGTGTAGAACCCTTCAACTCCCACGCCTGATGACAGCAGAGCTTCACAGGCTTTTTGGACCAGTGTGGTTTTGCCCACACCTTTGACAAAATGTGAGATGCTAACTGCAATATCTGATCTTTTACGTGTGTGACAGAACATTGAACATCGAAATCAAAGACGACATCACAAACTGAGTATACTGTGTCCATGACATGTAAACAGTAAATTATTTATTCATTTTTGACCACTCTCGTAAGAGTAGGTTATGTTAAAAAAAAATTAAAATAAATGTAAAATGCAAAAGCTAATTTACAATCAGAGTAACTTCTCAACACTGGTCTATGCTCATGGGCTTTCTCTAATAAAGTCAACTATAAACCAAGTTAATTACATGCAGTTAGACGATGAGATTCCAGCAGTCAAACATAATGACCAGTTTATGTCATTTGTGTTATTCGTGGCAGGGGTTTATTAACTTCCACACGTCTGTACAAGGTCAACAACTAAAAGATGACTTGTGAATTAATCAAAAGCTATTTCAGTTGATCTAGTTACTTGTTTAAGTTTGACGCACAGTAATGTTTTTAATTTGTCACAATTTTTTCCACTAATAGGTTTTAGAGCTTACTATTATGACTGACGCAACACTAGAATTACTAGATACTTTCGAATTAAATTAGTCTTAATGGGAGCATGTTAGAGAGCATGTTACAGACAATAATAATAATAATATTGATAATGATGATGGTGATGATGTTAATGTTGTCCTACTTCATCAGTTAAAAACACTGATAAAATAGGACAGCGTATATCAGTACTAGGACAGCAGTGCAAACATAACATTATAAATATTTAATTACGAACCAAAGAAGTCACTGAAAGTTCAAGTCATTTCTTATATTATTGTACTGTATATGGATTTTGTAACGTCAACAACTGTCGTTACTGCCCCAATTTTCCACAACAATTTCACTGTGTCTAAAGTATTTATGAACGTTTGTTGTGGACATTGTTAATGTTCAACGGTCAAAATTTGCAAAGCCGTATTACCTGGAGGTCCTGTCAAGAAAACGTGCTTGAACATTTCTGTTCAAAGCGGCTCGTCCAGGCTCCGCTGCACTTCCGCATATAGTGACGCATGCGCTATAGGCACCGAACGTCATAAGTTCGTTTCGATTCGTTCTAGCTCCACCGTTAAGATATGGGTTAAATAACTATTTTTAAATTGATTCATTTGACCACAAAATACACATTGAATAACTTAGCAGTTGTGTGTGTGTAATGTAGCAAAATGTATGTTATTTAATTGCTTTTCCACTATTAGGAATGACTTTTGCAGTTTATGCTTAAATGCATCACTTTGAAAATAGAACTTCCATAAATTACATTGATACTGCTAAAAATGTTTTATTAAAAACACAAAGAACTAAAACCCAACTAATTACATAGCGTTATATATGTGACCATTTCTTACATGGTGTAACCAGGCAGTTTGTTAACCAGGAGTTCTGAGATGTGCTGATGCTCTCTTCCCAAGTCCAGAGATCCAAGCTCGTCTTTTTCCTCCTCTGCATCCTGTGGTTCCACAGAGGATACGGATTCTGATCCTCGGCCTGGACTTCTGTTTTTAAATGACTCACTTCTTAAAGATCCTAAACTCTCAGCAACTAAGCTGCTTTCTGCTCTGCCAGTCTCTGTGACCTCCCTTCTGGAGCCAATGGTCTGTAAAGAAGCTAAACTGTCTCTATCACAATCTCCGGAGGAGAAACTTACGACAGATGCCGGCGTTTGTGGTCGAATAATGTGTGACCTCAGGGACCGCTGTGGAGAGACGGAGGCTTTGGGGGGAACGGGCAGGACAGTTCTCTTGCGATGAGAGACAGAGTCGGGGCTGCAGGAGTCAGGTCGCACAGAAGATTTTGGAGTGTGTACTCTTGAGAGTTCTGAGGTGCTCCCTGGGTCAGGAGAGTAGACATCACTGGGCTCAGGACTGTTAAAGTCATCAGCATATTCAAGTTCCTTATTCGCTCCGACAGTCGAGTCTGAAAATGAAGACTTTCGACTGCTGAATTTGCTGCTGCCTGGGGATTTAATACTCTCTCTTAGCCTGAGAGATGGAGGTGATGATGGAGCAGGTTCACCCAGATTTTCTGTCCTCTCTGTGCTTTGGAGAGCAGTGTCACTGTCCACACTTGGAATGTGAATACATTCAACATTTCTCACCCCGAGAGGAGGAGAGGGTATTCCTGAAATTACTGGCAAGTCTTTTTCTTCTTTTTCACTGGAGTTTTCCCGCACATATGTTGTTGTTTCTTGTAATGGAGATTTCATTTTTACTTTCTGTATCACAGTTTCAACATGTTTATCAAGGGTTGAGTTCTTATTTAATAGTAATTTCTTCAGTCCAGCATAAGCGGGTTTATCTAGAGGCCTTGCCTTTCCTTTTGGGTTATTTGTTATCTGTTTTTCATTCTGTAATAATTCAGTGCAATCATGTTTTACTTTATGAGTAGAAATTTTCTTCAACCTCAGATTAAATGTTTTGGTTGTTCCGTAGACAAGCTTGCTCTTAACGGGTTTATCACATGTTTTACTTTCAATAATTGCTGCTTTATGTTTGCTTTCCCTTTGTGGGGTTGTGGGTTTAAATCCCGTGGCAGTGCAGGTTCTTGAGGAATGTACATTTTTCAAAAGAGAACTGGTAACTTTGGTTTTGTCTATAGTTTTGCGTGGTGTGATATCATGTCCACCTGGTGGCTCTGTAGAGGCCGGCCTGTAAATCCATGCCAGGTTGGGGTGAATAGACAATGGTTGGTGTGGATTTTGGACGTTTAACTGTGACAGCTCCATTAGAAGGGCGTTGAGTAAGGGTAACTGTTTTAAAGCATCTACATTTGGACTGACCTCATTTGTCTGTTGATGCTTCTCTGTTTTGGTTACACATATTTCTCTATTGTCCATGTTTGGAGAAACCCCAGCTTTGTTTCCAGACACCTCATGCCCAGAACATAACTCCTCAAATGTGTTAAAGTCCGGGTTAATACTAATTTGTTTATAATCAATAACACTGTCACCCTTATCCTCCCCAGAGTGACTGTAATAAAGTTGTGGAGGGCAAAATATGTTCATCTCTCCATCAAAACTGTTTCCAATTTCTTTGAATGTTTGAGCTGTTTGGGATCTTGGCCGGCATTGGATGGCAACACTCTCACCCGCAGCAGGAGAAGCAGCAGCAGCAGCAGCAGGATTTAGACTCTCCTCTCTTTTCCAGGTTGTTCCACTTGCCAGTGCAATGTTTTGAAAGCTTGTTGGTTGTGGCAGAGCAAAAGACGATGGTTTTATTACCATGTTTTTCTCCCCCATGCATTCCTCCACAGGCTGCTGTCCTTGCACTCCCGTACCAACACTTAGCAGTTTATAACTCAAGGAAATGAATCCAATTTTCTCTCCTGTGAGGCTGCACATACTAACAAGGCCCCTTTCTCCTCTAGACGAGGGAACAGAAATTCCATTCTGTGCCACATCCTGCAAAATTCTGCCCATGACTTTGACCAGTGATATTAAGGAGGAGCCAACTAACTTGGGAATCTCCTCTTTCACATCCAGCACCATGGCGTAGAGAGGGGAGCTGGACAGTCGTGTATGCAGGGAGTTCAGGTTCATCTGGAAGAAACACGTCTTGCCTTTGTTAAAGGAGTATTCTCCCGGTTTGTCTGCTTGCTGTGCGTTTTCTTTTTTGTGCGGATAAATGAGCAGCGTTGGGAAATCCAACAGTCGCACAGCGAGAGCCAGCTCGCCTGAAATCTCGGTCTCCTTCTCTACCCGGATATTTTCCACCAAAAGCTCAAAAACAAACAAAGTCTCAACGTTATCGGTACTTTGTCCTTCTGACATCCTGGAAGTAGTCCTGAGAGACGGGGGCACCAAAATCACACTAGTACTTAACGCTGATCCCCACCGTTAGCTTTGATCGGCTCCATGGAAACAGTGTCGCAGGAATGTTACGTCATATTATGCCCAAAGGAAACGTGGGTAATGAAGTGTTCCTGTTTTCACATTGAGTTGACGTGACATGTATGAGCTTCAAAGGAAACAATATGTCACCTTTACATTATCTATTTATTATAACTGTACTACGTCCTTGTTTAGTACTGCTGTTTAGGTGAAAATATATAAAACATTTAAAATTGTTTATATGTTTATATCATATACCATATCATATACATTTTACAGTCTTTGAAATACTTTACAATGCTTTTATACAGTTGATCGACTCCCTATTCAAAAACGTTCTATGTGTATGAGGTTATAGTTTTCTTATGGATTAAAAGTCATGATCATGAAGAAAAACTGAAGTACTTTTCCAGACTCTTATTGTATCTCGAAATCAATAGTTCATATCATATGCATCTTCATATTCATATTACTTAATTCTATAGGACCACACACCACATGATCTTTCTGTATGAAAGTTGCATGTTCTCTTTGTCTTTTCAGATTTTCTCCAAGTACTCCAGTCTCCTCACATAGCCCATAGATATGCAGGATTAGGATGATCGTTCATCATAAATTAAGGGATGGCTGGGCATGTAAATGGTTGTTTGCCACCATACATAGCCCCGTGATGGACTCTAAAATAATAAACTGTAAAAAGTATATTCTGCTCTCACCCAATGACTGCTGGGATTGACTTCCAGATCTCTCGTCATGCATGGGTGAATGAAGGTATGGCATTGAATAGTTACCATGAGCACAGATTCTTTTATTCAAAACGTACTGGTTAACGGGCTCCAGTATATGGTTCTTAAACACACACATTAGTTGAGTTGTAGCAGCAGCGTCAGTTGGGCGGAGCCTGTCAGCCGTACGTGCTGTCATCACAGGAGGAGACAGCGCTGGATGGATATCGCTCCAGTCTGAGCTCCTTCAGTCTGGAGGCTGAGTCTGAGAGAGTGAGATGAGAGAGCGACTGTTGTCCATACGGCTGCTTTTTATTTTAATAACCCCGTAAGGATAATACGCCTGCCGCCGTCGATAGGCTCACGGTCCCGGTCAGGACAGGACAGAAGGACACCGAGAGGTAAGAACCCCTGTGTTTACTGAGACTGAAGCGAAACCCAAAGTGAGAAGCAGGGTTGAGAGTAGAGCAACACCAGAACACGTTAGAGTCCTCACAAAGAATAAAGTTAGTTTGCGAAGAATATGAAGAATAAGTGAGAGCTGGTGGATACAACGTGTCACCGGCGCTTTGAATTTAACAATATAACAGAGGCTACTCACAAAGTGTGTTGTGTTCACTTGTATTTTACTGACTCGTATGTAGATGCATATATATAAGAAATTGGACAATTGAATAGTTTCCTAAGAACACGCCAATTAAAAAATAATATATTGTTTTTACATTTTTAGCTGTGGGTTATGTTAAATGGCACGTTATCTTATACAAGAGATACATTTACTGTCAGTTATGTTACACGTTGACGTCATAGTATTGGTGATAGCGTGCGCGTGTGCGCGCGGGCATGTGTGTATAGGAGTGGGGCGGAGATGATTGGAGTGGATTTAGACAGAAATATTTTCTTGAATGAAAGATACGATGAGTGAAATGCTTCAGTTCGAACGGTGGGGGGCGATAAAAGCATCGCTGTTCTCAAGTGTTTACGGGCTCCAGACTTCAATTGTTCTGCAGAGCTGAGGAGTGCGAGACTCCTTTATAAATATAATCAGTGATCGCAATATACTGGGCTTTTCTGTTATATTAATAGGTTTAGATCAGATTTGTCTATAGTATATTTTTCTTCATCCGTCACATTGTGCTTCTTGTTCTTTGGAGAGCACACCTTGTAGACATTTACATACAATGAATACCTTTTTGTGCAAAACAAAGTCGAATGCATCCCTAAACATGAGCAAGTTCATCATCAAAATGTGTTTGCAAACTTAATGTGTAAATCAAGTACTAAATCAAGTACATTTGAAAGAGTGGCTGTGAAGAATAGCCCCACTAAACAATGACAAAATGCACAGAGACGAAAAGGACCACACCACATCCTTCCATCTTTCACTGCTCTATCCTGTTTAGGGTTGTGTAGGGAGCTGGAGCCAATTCCAGCAGCGTGGAGCAAAATTTAGGGTTGATGTGGACAGGTTGAGAACCCAAAACATAAAGCAACATGCCATCAATTATGTGTGTGTCCTGCAAACGTCTTTCCATATCTGGAAAATGAAAAATGTTTCTTTGTAGACTTCACAGTGTTATTGTGTTTAGTGCCTTTGCCTCACAGACAGCGGGTCACCCGTTTGTGTCCCTTCTTAAACAGATGGCCACATTGTTGGAAGTGTGTACAAGGGTTTGCTGTAATGCCCCAAGTTTCTACAATAGTTCATCCAAATTGGTGACTCTCTACTGAGCCGAGGTAGAATGTGGGTGTAAAGGGTTTCTATGTGTGGTCTAGCTCCAGATCTCTCTGTTGCCCTCGACGGGATGAAGCAGGTTGAAGTCTTTATTGAATTTGATTGAAATTGTGAACACATTCTCAGCATTTAAAATGAATAGTGGGTTGCACACATAATTCATCTAAAATGTTCTATTCCTGTGGTTTTGTGGCATGGCCATTTACAAAGTGTTGACCGCAGCAGATTTTCATCTCTGGTGGTATCTCCAAGGCTGAGGATTTTGTTAAATCAAACTGTACACTGAGTGGTTGCAAAAGCAAAATAATAATAAAAAACCCTGCATTGAACATGTGGCGTAAAAGGGACTTTGACACCAGTTGTCACAGCTGGACCTTCCCCATAGCTAGTTGTAGGATTTGTGACCCAGACAGAAAAACAGCTTCCTTTAACATTAAAACAGTTTGAACTATCCATAAATAATATTAATCAGACCTCTTCTGCACAGCATGTGACATTTTCCTTCATAAAGGTTGACCCTTGCATCAATAGGCAGTTTCATGTAAGCCCCATTCACAGAGTAAACAAGTGAAATGTTGTTTGCTTCACAGTACCATGTCCTTTGCTGTCTTCCTGCAGGAAGTTTATCCTCCACAGTAAATAAAGCCCCAATAAAAGGGGCTACTGAAAGGCGCAGTCCACAGCTGGTGGTTAGATGCAGACGCAACAAGAACAATCGAAGTTTCCCTGTTAAATTTCCAGTGGTCTGGATTTATGTTATTTTAGCTTCACAGCTACCATGTCTGCAAATCAGTTGCAGTGTTACAATCAATAAGATACCATTACCTTTCACAACCTTTTATAACTAAGAAAAGATTAGCTTTTTGTAGCTTTTTGTAGGGACAGGGAAGATTTTAAGGGCTTGTCTTAAACTGAGTAGGGACAGGGAAGATTTTAAGGGCTTCAATATGTCATGACCTCATGTAACATTTATTGTATTTTCTTAAACTCAGTATTTGGCTTAAGTCCAACTGTCATAGGTCTGCACATCAGGGAGGAAATTAATTAACTGACCACTCCACTGAGTAAATATACAGACAAATGTAGCGATGTGTGCAATATTTGTATTATTGTGCACAAAAGCGAGAAAGAAAAAATAACAACAACCCAATTAGTCCAGTAATTTATTCTGTCATCATGCACATATTATTGTTAGTTAACCTCTTCCCCAGCTGGGGATGGATTCATGCATTACTCATTATGCTTACTTGCACATGATACTTGACCCATGCTATCATTAATTTGGACTGGTGCACATGATTCTTGACATGTTGTATTATTCTGCTAGAAAGAGATAAGAAAAGAAAATAATAATTTCCCAGATAGATGAAAGATGAATAAGAGATATATAGCTTTCTGTATAACTGAAAGAATGCCCAGAATTCTGACCTCAAGGCTATTGGTGGATTTTCGAGGGGTGTTATTTGCCCCACAAATTCTTGGGTAATTGATTTTTAATAGCTTGCTGCCAGGGCAAGGAAAAACATGTTTTAATTTAATGCTTTTTCTGTGCAATATCTGGAGAGACCATTGGTTATAATTAAGTTAGCATCTTAGCTTGTAGCTTTGTTTCGCTCACATGATTGTTTGACGTTTAAACTTTAAAGTTTAGTTTCTGTTGTTCAGTTTAAAATATAATTAGATAACTTTCACTTCTGCAGCTGCCTTTCTCATTCTACACAATAATAATGTGTTGTATTGTGCTAATAATACAGTAGGTGCCTTAAGATGGAACATACTCTCTTCTGTTTCTTAAAGTGCCCTCTGCGTGACCGACCCGACAATAGTAATTGAGCTGGATAGATATGTCTTTCACAGTAAAGTTGTGGGCATAATGTGTGCTCAGGTGAACAATGAAGCACCTGTCAGGTTTAGCATAGAAACGTCTTCCTGTGACATGCCTCCGGGCTATGTTCAGTTATTATTATTGCAGTGTTGTTAAGTATGTGTCCTGGCCTCCAGGGCTGGGTGACACCTAGTTAAAGTTTCAGCCGTTACATTGTTGTTGTTGTGGTACAGAAAATTTAGAACAAAGTCATTACCATAACGGATAACTGTGTAGGGATTGTTTTAGAAATTATTAAACAGTAAAAAATGATTGTTCACCATATGCTTCTTCTTCTTCTTTTTTTTTTTTTTTCAATTCACACAACACTCTCCGGCTGGTGTTCTGACTTGTCCAGATTTGGAAACAATTAGCAGGAAAAGAACCACTTAGACAATGCTTATAAAGGCAGATGCGTTTCAACATTTATACAATGGAAGCCTGCCAAAGCATGTGGCATCTCTTTCCAACAGATTCCACACCATGGGCATGTGAGAGGGATCAGGAAACCGTGTATGGTCTGTGCTGTGCTGCCTGGCTGGTTGGTTAGCCAGGAGTCACAATAGACCCCTCCAACCAAATCCTGTTGCTTCAGAGTCAACCAACCAGCAGACAGGAGATCACACGCTGCCTGCTCCTGTTGTGTGCGCC